ATATATACAATAATTATCATATAATTATGAGATAGCTATTATATATCATTACATATAATAACTATCACATATGATAATTATATATTATATTGTTAATTTTTATTAATTATATACAAAATAGAATAGTTCGATATTAATGTTATAATAACTGCTCCTATTATTATTAATATTGTTATCTGTGGGCTTAGTTTAGGCCCTTCTCTATTAGGTCTTCAAATATTATTTTCTCTTTGAACACTTTATGGCATTTCTTGGAAGAATGTAAGGCCCTTTTCTGGGAGCACATCCCTTGGAATATACCTTTAAGCTAACAGTAATCATATTGTCCATGAGTATTTTATTATCTTTCTCTTTTAATATACCACCAGTTCCAAAGTTGTAGAAGAAATCCTCTTTATTATCCCAATAATCATCTCTTGCTGTCCCCACACCCTCAATATGTAAGTGTTTGGTTGGGCAAACCTTCAGAAAAGGCCCGAGGAAGGTCAGTGCTAGTGACTCATGCCTATAATCATAGCTACTCAGGAGGATGAGATCTATGGATCATGGGTCAAAACCAGCCAGGTAGAAAAGTCCATCTCCAATTTACTTGAAAACTAGACATAGATCAAATGGTAGCATGCCAGATAAGAGTGAAAAAGCTGAGTGATAGTGCAAGGTCTACTACTAGTAAAAAAAAAAACACACCAAACCAAACAAAAATAGCAACAACAAAACCATCTGCAGAATGATGAACGCAAATGCAGTTTTAAAGCTTCAGACAAAATTGAAACTTCAGGTTATTTGACATGCTTTTGTCAAGCTGGCTAACAGGTCCTTCTTTTTCTGTACTATAGGAACCTTCAACATCTACAAACAAGGAAAGAACTGTTCGATTCCTTGGCAAAGATAAAAATATTCATTCCAAGTTTCTAGATGCAACGGATGTCTTGTCATCCTGGGTATGTATCTGAAACCCAACTAGAAAAACTAAAGTGAACTTAAAACATGGGTGTCATCAGTGTCGTGAATATAACATAACATTCAGTTCCATAATGCATTTTACAGTTTTTCCTTCTTGCATAATAATCCCTGGAAAACTCTCTGTCTCTTTGGTTGAAACAGGTACTTGAACTCAGTACCTGACCCTTTTTTGTTCATTGGCTAGCACTCTTCAAATGAGCCGGGGCCATGTTTCCAACCCTCCCCCCGCCTTTTTTTTGTGTGTGTGAACATACTGTACAGAGGGGTTACAATTACATGGGCAGGTTAATGCATACATTTCTTATCAAGCATTGCAGCCTCCTCCTTTGTTTATCCTTCACATCCCTTCCCAGCCTCCCCCCCCAGCCTTTTTCTTTTAACCTTTCACTTTACAAAAACTTCACAAAAACTTTTCATCTTTAAACCTTATTTTAATATCAGAATTTCATTCCTCTCTTTAGTTTAACAATCTTTTGGTCAATATCTGAGCAGTTTTCAAAGACATCCATTCAACAGGTTTTATTGAGAGCTGTGATAACACATACCAACTACAAGGTTATTGGGATTTTGGAACCTTACAGAAACTTACTGCTGTGGGAATTTAGTGATAAACAAGATTTTAAATTTCCCCATAGAAATTTCATTTAGGTCAATGGGAGACTTGTCAGGCTCATCAGGTTCTCCACAGAAAGCTGCTTTTTAGGAGTCTGTAGATTTGCCTCATTCCATCAATCTGCAGAAACTGAATGCAACATTTTATGTGTATGCTCATGTGTATTTTCTTGAATTGAGGGTAGAGATGAATAGGTTTTTATCAATTCTAAAGTTAAGAGCCATTAAAATTGTTAAGGGTTCTTTATATTGGGAGGTGGTGGTATATAGGTGGTGACTATGACAGGGTGGCAGTGGATAGCAGCCAGATCTCTTAGGTTGAACTGATGTATACCCAGGGAAGCTATGGGCGATGTGATCCAGTCTTGGTAGAAAGAAGTAGTTATGTGGAGAGCAAGATTGGAGTGAGGATTTGTACAAGTTGGGCATTACAAATACATTTTCCAAAGTGGAACCTTTTTAAACAAGTTTTAAAAATAATATATTAGTATGCCAGTCATTAAGACTGTGAGTCAAAGATGTGAGAAACAGTATAAATGGAATGAAGTATCATGAATCATGTCTTAAAATAAAAAAGAATCACTAGTCCCAGACAAAGCCCTCTTGCCGAAGTAAGGACCTTGCTGAGCCAACCACAGCAGGTATCAGAGGGAGGCTCTGGAGCCAGAACGTGGGGGGACGGGGAAGGAAGGGAAAGAGGGAAGAAAGGACAGAGAGACAAAAGTCTGTGGTCTGCAGGTGTAATTTGCCATATCTCTGAGACCTGAGTTGTAGAATAGGAAGGCTACAAGGAATACATGGACAAAGGGATAAGTGCATTCCACCAGCGAAAAGAACGGAAAGACATGCAACTTCATGCCACCGAGGGGTACAATTTAAAGTTTATGAATGTAATTTTTAAAAGTTCTGGGGAAATATAATGTTTATTTGAAAATATGCTTATATGTTTTTCTCCTCCAATTTCTCCTCTCACTTTGCTCTTGTTTCAATACCATATCTAGATTCAAAATAAATCTTTCCCAACAAGATGTATACTTTAACTGAACTTTCCCTAAGGAGTTTAAAATTTGTACTTGTTTCTGCAATATTACATGCTTAATGAAATAAATAAATAATAATAAGATAGGTGTAGTTAGGCTCCAATCTTTACTTACTTATTTTTTATCAGTTGCGGGGCTTGAACTGAGTGCTTGGGCACAGTCCCTGAGTTCTTTTGTTTAAAGCTAGTGCTCTACCACTTTGAGCCACAGCCCCATTTCCAGTTTTTGAGTGGCTAATTAGAGATAAGAGTCTTATGAGGACTTCTTTGCCTAGGCTGGCTATGAACAGCAATCCTCAGATCTCAGCCTCTTGAGTAGCTAGGATTACAGGCATGAGCCCCTGGCACCTACTTTTAATTTTATTTATTAGAGAAAAGTGTTTATCTTCTTTTTCTCCCTTTCTTTCTTCCTCTCTTCCTCCCTCCCTCTGTAGTTGTGCTGGTACTAGGGGTTGAACTCAGGGCCTAGGCACTGTCTCTGAACTTTTTTTGCTCATGGCTGGAGCTCTGCTACTTGATCCACAGCTCCACTTCTGGTTTTTGGTACTTATGTGGAGATAAGGGTCTCATGGACTTTCCTCCCTGGGCTGGCTTTGAACCATGATCCTCAGATCTCAGTTTCCAAAGTAGCTAGGATTGTTGCATGAACCACTGGTACTCACCCTTCTCTTTATTTTAAAACATTTTTTCCTTGTTCCTTTTAGCTCGTACTGATTTCTCTACTTCATTTTGATAATTGAATGAACAACACAATGAATTTGTGTCACACTGTGGTTATAAATAACTTGGAAGCCACTATATGATTTGGCCACAATCCAACTATTTTTAGTTTGGTTGTTAAAAATGAGCTTAATGATCTACTCGATAATTATGAGTGAAGAAAGTATATTGGAGGGCTTGACTCCAGACATTTAGAAGAAGTAAAATATTAGTATTGGGCTCTTGATTCATTTGTGTCATGTATTTCCTTTTGTCAGAGAAAAGCGGCTGGCAAAGGCACATTGGCCCAAAAGTATATTGAATTAATGGCTGTAATGGAACACATGCAGGTGAAGTTAATGTAAGTATGACCACAATGGTCAGAGGATGAAGACTGCTAGCCAGAGGGTTTAGCTGAAAAACTGCACTATTGGCCTACTTTTGTCTGTTCTGTTTGCTTTATTTGGGGATGGGTATGTATGAATCTTCAAGAGGCAGTGAACTATACTATTATCATAGGAACATCTATCCTTACAGTAGAGATGTAGCGATGAAGGAAGTCAAAGTGTATATATGTTTATGTTGAGGGAGTAGGAGTAATCCAATTCAGCATATTTATTTTCTTTTGTGCCAGTACTGGGGCTCGAACTTAGAGGCTATGTGCTGTTCCTTAGCTTTTGTGTTCAAAACTGGTACAGTATCCGTAAGCCACAGCTTCATGGCTGGCTTTCCTTTCCAGGCTGCTTTACACCTTGATCCTCAGATCTCCTTCTCTAGAGTAGCAAGAATTACAGGATGAAGCTACCAGTGCCTGGCTGCAGTATGTTTCTAAGTGGCTACTTGAAATAAATGGGACTGGAGGGGGAAATACTAATAGGCAGTTAGAATTCCTAAGGATCCTAGGAGAAGAATATGGTCACATAGACATAGATCACATACTTAAGTAGGTAGGAAGTGCATCTTTTCTGGAGTATAAGAACTATAAAACTTGGTTTTATGCTTGTTTTTATAATACATATAAAACTTTGGTTTTAAAAGTACTGAGAAGAAGGGACACTATTAGTTTGTTGGATCACATCAATTACATGAAGCTAGAGTTAACTACTGAAAGGGGATTCCCTGGCTATTCATGGAAGATTTCCAATACCCAAAAGTCAGATTTGCATAAGAAGTGATAAATATGTTGTATTCTTAAATCATAGCATGATGTCAACTCCAATGTAACAAGAGTAACTCTGGTACCTCTGTCCTTGGTTAATCAGTGAAACTCTTGCTTTCTGTATTTGTACCCATTAGAAAGATTCATCTAGTCCCCACTGCTTTGTTTTTGTTTGGTTTTACAAAATGAGTTTCTATATCAAACATATTTCCACCCGTCTCCATTTTGTTGTGTTTCACTGGACTTCATCCACACCAGAGAGGTTGAAAGCAGAGCCAAACAGGCAGAGGAAAAGTTTGATGAGGTAAATGAACAGCTTCAGTTTACACTCATAAGGAATAAAAACTTGGAGAAGGAACTAAAGGAAATAGTCATGAGCTCTAAAAAGAAGGAGATACAAGAAGTACCTGAAAAAGTACCTGAAAAAGTACCTGAAAAAGTACCTGAAAAAGAAAATGAGAAAGAACGAATCAACGAAGAAAAAGAAGAGAAAGACCAAAACAACGAAGAAAAAGAAGTCACAGAAGCAAAACAAATTAAGAAAGTGAAAGTTGAGGAGGACGAGGGAGAAGTGGAGGAGGAGGATGAAGGAGCCAAGCCACTAGAAACTTGCGCAAAACGTAAGAAGAAAGGTAAGAGCTGCTTTCTTATTTTGCTTTATTTAGGTTTTATTTATGAGGTAAAACTTGACTAGCACACAAATACACACACACACATAATTTTTTTTTTTTGTCGGTCATGGGGCCTGGGCCAGAAACTGGGCGCTGTCCCTCAGCTCTTCAGCTCAAGGCTAGTGCTCTACCACTTTGAGCCACAGCACCACTTACTGTTTTTTCTGCTTATGTGGTGCTGAGGAATGGAAACCAGGGCCTCATGCATGCAAGGCAAGCACTCTACCACTGAGCCACCGTCCCAGCCCAACACACAAATATTTTAAAAGAGCTTTTGTGACTTTAGTGCTGATGGTCTTAGTCTGTATTTCTCAAAGGCAGTTACAGGTGGGTGTATACATTTGATTATGTTATTGACACAATTAACAAAATGGAAAAACAACTCACAATTGTAGATGAATAAACTAACTGAGATACAGTCTGTACTTTAAAAATTGTCAGATGGCTGGTGTGGCTTAAATGGCAAAATGCCTATTTAACAAGTACAAAGTCTGCAATGCTATACTAGTAATAATAATAAATAGCAATAGCTTTTGTTGGAGGAATGGCTCAGTGGTATAGTATCTGTCTGGCAAGCATTAGGCCCTGAGTTCAAATCCTAGTACTGCCCCCCTGCCCCTCCCAAAGAAAAATAAGAAAACTAAGAACCAAAGAAAAATAAGAAAAAAACCTGGCAGAGATTTTTCAAAATGAAAGTTGCTTATCAGAAGTAGCAACTTAGAAGTAGCACCATGGCTCATGCCTGTCATTCAAGCTACTTAGGAGGGTCCCAATTTGAGGTAGTCTGGACACAAAAATTCATGCAACTCTTTTCTCAAATAATAACTTGGCATAGTTTTATACCCTGCCATTGTGGTACATCCACACCAGCACAAAAAAGGCTGGAGATGGTACAGCACCTCCTTAGAAAAGTGCAGGGCCCTGAGTTCAAACCTCAGTACTACACATACTCACACAAGTGGCGCGACATGGTTTTACAGATAATACATATGGGAAGAAAAGCAGATTTAACCTTTTAGAATAGAATTCGTTATTCTGCAAGGATAGTCCTTTAAAGTGTTCATATACTTCTATCTAGTAACTTCAGTCCTGAGACTAGACTCTAAAGAAATACTTGGGCAGGGACTGGGAAGGTGGCTCAGTGGTAGAGCCTTGCATGTATGAGGCCCTGAGTTCGATTTCTCAGCACCACATAAGAAAAAAGAAAAAAAAAACCAGAAGTGGCACTGTGGCTCAAGTGGTAGAGCGCTAGCCTTGAGCTGAAGAGCTGAGGGACAGCGCCTTGGACCAGAGTTCAGGCCCCACGACCAGACCCCCAAAAAAAAAACAAAGAAAAGAAAAAAGAAATACTTGGGCAGGATGATGTGCATCTACTGTCAAGCTACTCGAGGCTGAGGCTGGAAAATGCTTGAGTCAACAAGTTTGAGACTGGTATGGGCAGTGTAGCAAGATACCATCTCAAAGAATATGATAAAGTAAAATAGAACAATCTTAGGAGCTGTAATATAGCTCAGTGGTAGAGCACTCGCCTAACATGAGTGTCAAGGCCCTGGATTTGATCCCCAGCACTGCAGAAAAAAATCCTAAATACAAGAAAAAAATTAATGTACAGAGTGTTCAGTGTATTAAGTGTAATAGCAAAAATAGAAACAACCTACTTTTTTAATCATGGAAGAAAGATTAAATGAAATTTTTTTTCTGTCAGTATACTTGAATACCATACAACTATTACAATGATTTTACAAAGAGCTTGTAATAACAGGAATTTTTTTTTGTTAAAATATCAAATGCAGCCAGGCACCAGTGGCTTACTCCTATAATTCTAGCTACTCAGGAAGCTGAGATCTGAGGATCACAGTTTGAAGCCAGCCCAGGCCAAGAAATCCCTGAGAGACTCTTATCTCCAATTAACCACTCAAAAACCAGAAGTGGAGCTGTAGCTTGAAGTAACAGAGCACTAGCCTTGAGCAAAAGAGCTGAGGGACAGTGCCCAGACTCCTGAGTTCAAGCCCCACAACCAACAAAATATAATAATAGTAATAAATTATATATATATATATATAATATAATATAACAACTAGAATATGGCCTGGAGTTGGTGGCTCATGTCTGTAATTACAAGTATTCAGGAGGCTGAAGCCAACTCTAAAGGAAAATCCCTGAGACTTATTTCCAGTTAACCAAATTAAAAAGTTGGAAGTAAAGGCATGGCTCAGGTAGTAAAGGGCCAGCCATGAGTGAAAAAGCCAAGAGAGAATATGGCGTCTGGAATTCAACCCCCACTACTGGTGTGCATGCACATGTATGTGTACACAAACACACACGCACCCATGCAGAAATAGAATATGAGCCAGGTGCCAGGATCTCAGTTCAAAGTTAGCCCAGGCAGGGAAGTCTATGAGACTTTTATTTCTAATAAAAATTTTTTAAGCCAGAAATGGTGCTGTGGCTTACCTGGTAGAGCACTAACCTTGAGTAAAAAAGCTCAGAGACAGCACCCAGGCCCTGAGTTCAAGTTCTAGGACTAGCACAAAAAAAAAGAAAAGGAAAGAAAGAAATAAAATATGACACAATTTTTTTAGGGCTACAAAGAATACCAGAAAGAAACATGAACAAACAGTGATAGACATTGTCTCTGGGTACTGAAGGTTATGGAGAATTTCGTCCTTATTTAATGGTTTGGTACTTGTTGGATTGTTTATTTTTTTTATTTATTTTTTTTTCTGTCGGCGGGGGGCTTGAACTCTGGGCCTGGGCGCTGTCCCTCAGCTCTTCAGCTCAAGGCGAGCGCTCTACCACTTGACTACAGCGCCACTTCCGGTTTTCTGGTGGTTTATTGGAGATAGGAGTCTCACGGTCTTTCCTGCCCGGGCTGGCTTTGAACCGTGATCCTCAGATCTCAGCCTCCTGAGTAGCTAGGATTACAGGCGTGAGCCACCAGCGCCCGGCGGATTGTTTATTTTTTTTTAAAAGAAAACCTACTCTAGTTCTGCAGGAAAGGAATTAACCTTTTCATTTTCTTACCTCTAGTTAGTGCTGTAGTCTGCCTACAGGTAATTCTCACTCAGTACCTCAAATGTTAGAGATTATAGTTTTGATTTTTAGTTTCATCCCCATACTATGGTATGTTCTCAGAACAGCTCCAGGTTCAAGGGGGAAATATCTACTTCAGCTTTCTCCTATTGTTCTTATTTCACCTCCAGCAAAAGCAAAGAAGGGAGCCAAACTCACAGTCTCCAGGCCCAGGTAGAGGGGTGCCAACACCATGTAGAGGAGGAGTGTGAGGCCATTTTCTCTTCTGTCAGCTTTGAACTGGTGAAATGTTACTTATTCAAGTGTGACAGTCCTTTAGCTTTAGGTTCTGAATATTGGTGAACTGTTTTCATGAATTTTAAAACATTCCATTCTCCCAAATTCTAGATGCAGTAGAATCATTGAGTCAATTATCCTGATCATTTGAAAACTAGACCATTTCCATATTTAGAGAGATGAGTCTGCAAACCACATAAAAAAAAGTTATATGGGGCTGAGAAGGTAGCTCAGTGGTAGAGCTTGCCTTGCATGCCTGAGGCCCTGGGTTCGATTCCTCAGCACCACTGGACTTAAGAGAGATGAGGACAGACCAGGGAACATAATTCTTTTGTTTTTATGTCAGTCTTTCTAATAATCACCAAATCACTGTGCTGTGAGCCATGAATAAAGAAAGGAATTGAAGGGAACATGATTTTTCACTGGGGCCACAACTAGAAATGGGAAAAGTATCCTAAAAGTATAGGCACAGGTGACTAATGTGAGATGGAAGTGGCAGCAATCAGTCTGAAGGGTTCAACTTGGAAAGCTGGTGTTATAGAGTTACTTTTTGTATCCCTGGCCAGGGAGCGCAGGCTCCTTGGCCAGAGGCCAGAGCCCAGCCCAGGCATGGAGCTTATGTATAATCTATCTATCTATCTATCTTAATCTATCTAATCTCTCTCTCTCTCTGAGAGAGAGAGAGAGAGAGAGAGAGAGAAAGAGAGAATGGGGGATAGCAGGGGTCCAGGAATAGACTAAAGAATTTTCTGAAAACTATTGGGATCTTTTCCCACCAAGCAAGTCTTTTTTTTTTTTTTTTTTTGCTGTGTGACTACATAGTCTCCCACTGCAGGATAAAGAATTAGAGCACCTAAACTTTGTGAAATATGCCTGCTGTATCTCAATAATCAATTTAGAATCAAATTTTTGGCTTGTTTGTATCTTCTGGGTTACTCAACAAAATGGAATTGAAAAACATCTTTGTGAAGTTAAAAAGCTAGCTGGACCACCAGTGGCTCACTCCTGTAATCCTAGCTACTCAGGAGGCTGAGATCTGAGGATTGCAATTTGAAGCTAGCCCAGGCAAAAAAAAGTCCGTGAGACTCTTATTTCCAAAAATCTACTCAGAAAAAGCCAGATGTGGCACTGTAGCTCATTTGGTAGAGTGCTGGCCTTGAGCACAAAGAGGCTCAGGAATAGCACCCAGGCCCTGAATTTAAGCCCCAGGACCAGCAAAAATAAAGTTAAAAAGCACTTAGTCAAGATATTATTACTACAATACTCTAATTGTCTTTATCTTTTTATAGGAGGACCACGCAAGGTGGGTGAATCAAAATCCCATTCTAAATCCAGTAGCAAGACCAAATCCAAGTAGTAAGCAGTGAGCCTTGGGGCTCACAGTGGCTTGTGACCCCTGAACATACCCAGATGTTGCTCCACAGCAGGGCAGACTCCCTTTTAACAGCTACAAAGCCACACTATACAAGCCAAGAACATTTCCTCCTTAAAAGAACAGCCATGACTGTGGTGGAGATAGTGTATTTGTTTGCTTCCCAGATTAAAAACAGCTTATGCAAAAGTTTGCTAGCCTCTTTGCTTGACTTCCTGAAAGGTTTGTGACAAATGTCTGCAAAGAAGAAGAAGATAATGTCTTTTTGAAGACTTTGAACTCCATATAGAAGTCTGGAAAATAAAATTTAAAAAACTTTATACTTTTTTCAATTTGGAAGACAGGATTATGATAATGCCCTAAGTTTCTGTAGCCTTTTCAGATTTCTTCTAATTTCAGGCATTCTTATGCTTTCTCTGATCTTCACAGTGATGCTATGAATAAACAGGGAAATCGGAAGATGAAACTGAAGCCTCACTGAGGCCACAGAGCTGACTGGTGCCAGAGCCTACAGTTTGCTGGACTCATAGCTAGACTGTTGTACAACAGCAAAAGCTACTAGTCTTTGGCTCAGATGAATTCCTTTTTTTCCTTTATTTTACCACCTTATTTGTCTGCTCTGGTCACCATTCTAAATCCATTTAGGGATGCAGAATGGATTTTCCTGCAGAAAAAAGTTGCAAATGACAAACAGATGTGCTGGGAAGTCACACAGCCAGGGCTCACTTCTACCTCCAGCTTCAAATTCACATCTGCCTGCCTAGGCCTCTCCTGACCATCATCATATTGTGAGAGGTGGGTTCAACATTGCTTAGGCTCCACCTCAGCAATACTTGCTGGATAAATTAGGGCAATTCTATCCTTTCCTTCTGAGGAAAGAAAGCATGGACTCCTTTAGACACTTGGCTATATTCATGGCCTAACTGACAGGCAACACTATGGCTCTAGCAGATTTGGGAACTTTTTTGTTTTACATGACTACAGATTTTTTAAAATTAATTTCCCAGTCTGTGGGAATGAGTGGTCATTTTTATCCAAATCAGTAGCTACCATCTCTAAACACAAGAGTTTTCCTTGCCCTTAGGATGTGTCAAACACTACATCAATCCATTGAGTAGAAGGCTTGGTGTCAATGCCAGAGCTGTATCCACTACTAGCTCAGTTAGAATGAGGTATTTGTGTTGGAGTGGTTTGGTTACAAGCCACAGGAACCCACTCTTGTCAGCTCAACTCATTGAAAGGATTTTGGAAAAGCCTGACAGTGGTCAGGCTACTTGTGTGACACTTGGTAGCACACAATTCCTCATATTCTTGGCTGCATTAGTTTTCCATCACTACTAGAAGTGAAGTGCTAGACGTGAATTAACTTATAAAGAGAAAACATTCATTTGGCTCACAGTTCTGGAGGTTCCAATCCATTGAGTAATCCATTGCTTTGGGCCTTTGATGACCCAAGAACATTCACTCTGTGAGCCAGAAAACAAAAGAGAAAGAACAGGAAGAGACCAGAGTCCTACAACCTCCTTTAATAGCGTAATGCAGTAGGCCCTAAGGTTCTATCACCCCCAGTGACTCCCACTCCTGGGATTAAGCCTTAGGGATCGTGGACCTTAGGAGGATACTCATTCAAACCACAGCATTGGCTTTCTCTGGCTACCAGTTCTACTGTAGGCCCCAAAGCTCTAGAGTACAGTCTGCCCAGTTCTGGTCTCCTAAATAGTATCTCACCTACCAGCAAGCATTTTCCCACATGAAGCAAGGGATTTGATAGGCCAGGTGCCATTAGCTCATGCCTACTGCTCAAGAGGATGAGATATGAGGATCATAGTTGAAAACCAGCCTGGGCAGGAAAGTCCATGAGACTTTTACCTACAATAAACCATTAAGAAGCCAGAAATGGAGTTGTGTCTCAAGTGGTGGAGTGCCAGCCTTTAGAAAAAAACTAAGAGACAGTTGCCCAGTCCCTGTGTTTGAATCCCAGTATAGCACATATGCACATGGGCACACATGCACACACACATACTACAAGGATAGCTGCTGTAGCCTACACCCTAGAGCCTGCCTACCTACAAAACTGAAATGCTTGCTATCCAAGCCTGAGCCTGGTGCCCTCTAGCTACACTGATAGGAAGCAGCACCTAGAGCTCATCGGAACTTCCTTGCCTCAAATATGGTAAGCCAGTCTCTCAGAACCTCAAGGCAAGTTTTCACTTGAGATTGCTAAGCAGGTCCACCAACTTCCCTTACCCCCATCTGACTTCAAAGATTTGACAGCAATCTGATAAATTATATACATACAACCTATTTATAGTGATTCTTCCTCACATCTTAAAGCACCAATATAAGACATTTTTTGTCCTTTTATTGATTTTTCTATTTGACACAGCAAAGCCCATACAAAGAACTGTATTTAAATTCTCCAGTCACGTGTAAGTTTGGTATATCTCTTTCTTGTGTTCACGGAGGAGCTGTCATTGCAGTGAGACTCTCAGGGCTGGGGATGAGGAACATAGACTGCATGTGAGAGGAGGACATATTAGACAAGATGTTGAAAAATTGGGAGTGTACTGGGAGAAGCCTACATCTTAAGCAGCTTGTGGTAAGGGCTCAGAGACAGGGCTGTGGCAGCTACAAAGGGGCTGTTAAAGAGGCTAAAGAATATCTAGTAGTCAAAAAGATACCTGAACTAAGTCTTCAGTCAAAATTGAACTACATTTAGACATTAAATTCTGTCCAGATGAGAATATCGATCAAAGATCTTTCCAGAAGTATTCTTTCAGGATGACCTAAACTTGTTAGATTGCTTCTCTGTCATTATGTCACTGTGTTCTTAGTACTGGCCACATTGTGACGTAATGCGTGAGAATGTTCCTTTTGGTAACCAAAGAAGGGCAGAGGAGGAGGACTGAATGCTGCCTCTCGGGTGTGGCTTTACTCTATAACATGGGAGAGTCTTTCTTCTTGGGATTTAGTGGCTCTACAGATTTGGGAGAACTTGGCAAAGGGATGCTTGCTTGAGTTCTGTTGCTGGGAGAAGACAGGAAATTTAGCATATCAAATGGCAAAGGTAAAACCACAGTGGGAGGTTTGTCTGTGGACAACGACTGAAGCGTGTGCAGATATCGAAGTTGGACGGCAGCTGGGGTGCCCGATAGAATCTCAGCTGCCATCCTTAGGGACTCGGAGGCAGCCTTTTCTCCTTCTGCAGCGATCATCTGAAAAATAGAAGAAGAAAAGCAAAGTGATTATGCTTCACTCGTGAAGGTTTCACTCACTATTGGTTGTGATACAGCCAACAAGCACTATACATCTCTGAGGTGGCAACACCAAGGAACAAATTCAGTCAGCATCCTTTTAGAAGGATATGGAGTGGTAAGATAGACTGTTATCAGTTGAACTTAAGATAGTTTGTCCAAGGCCATGACAAGTAAAGCAAAGTGTTAGAGGAATTACTAATGTCTAGTGAGCTTGAAAAATAAGTAGAATTTTGCTGTCTGGAAGAAAAGCTGGCTAGTGTTCAGGCAAAGGCATGGAACGTGAATTGGTTCATTTCAACTTGGTCCAAACAAATAGGCAGGACACAGGGACATGACTTAAGTGGTGGAGCACCTTCCCAGCAAGCACGAGGCCTTGAGTTTAAAACTTACTACTGGAAAAAAAAAGTTAAGAGTTCACATCTATAATCCCAGCTACTTGAGAGGTGGGCTGAAAGATTCATGATTTAAGGCTGATCTAGACAAAAGCATGAGGCACTGGGCTGGGATGTAGCTCAGTGGCAAAGCGCTTGCCTAGCAAGCGCAACGTCCTGGGTTCGATCCCCAGTACCAAAAAAGAAAAGACAAAAAAAATACAGTTAAAAAAAAATCATGAGGCACTATCTGAAAAAATGTAACTAAAGCAAAAATAAAATGGGGTGCTCAAGGGGGCACTTGACCAACAAACTCAAGGCTCTTAGTGTCAAGCCCCAATCCCCATCTCCCCCAAACAAATAGATAACTTAGTAGCCAAATGTCACCTGGAAACAGGCTGCGAGGATGATGCTCAGTTATCTTGAAACAACTCTGCCAGAGGACACCTCTCTGCACTTTCTCATAGTGTCCCAAAGTGATCGGCTATCCCTTGTGGTTAGGGATTTTTCTCCTTCACCTACTCCGTTCTTTGAGAGAAATCTGCCTCCTTTGAGAACTCTACCTCCCTTTATTCCTTCATCTGTAACCTATTCCTGTACCTAGCAGGAACAGGTGGCTGAGAGTACTCAAGGAGAGATGCCTGTGCGAGGAGAGGGATTGGGCGGGAGGGAGATGTTTTTAAGGAAAGGGGGGGCAGAAGCCACTGTTGGCAGCAGCTTTGGAGAGAGGGGCAGGCCTTTCACAGATCAGAGGCTGTGACCACCCTGGGAGCAACTTCAGCCGAGTGGTGGGGACGCAAGCCAGATTCCTCCAGCGCGGGCATGAAGGGAAGGTGAGCAAGCAGGCCTGCCTTTAGGTTCTGTGGTGTTTCTCAAAGAAACAGCTCAGTGGAGGGTGGGGTGCTCCTTCCTGGCTCACCCGCACTTTGGCCTGTCTCTGCGCTTCGGCTTCCACAGCCAGGGAGTGCTGAAGCCCAGCCGGCAGCCTCACGTCTTTACTGAAAGAGAGAAGCGGGCAGGTGGGTGTGGACTGGACACTGACAGCCAGGGCTTCCTGACAGCCTTTCTACTCTCTTCCATGAGCAGCAGATGGGGTGTGCTGGGAAGAATATGCGGGGATCAGTGCCTCAAACAGGAACTGCAGGGAGGTGCTGCTGGTCTCTCCCTACACCTTGTAGTTGGCGTTCACAGGTGGTTGGCATTTCCTCCACTTAAGATTTAATCTACATCCCAGCCGTTCCATATGAACAATGCAAAACAGCCTTGACTAGATATATAATTTATATCAAAGTGAACAGGAATGTGCCTAAGTTTAGAAACGAACTAGTTTTGAAGTGATCTGACTAAGTAAGAACAATCTTAGTACAAAAGGTACCAAACTGGCTTCTTGCCCTGATTATATCTAATGCTTATACAGCTTAGCAGTTCCTCAAAAAGTTCTAGAGCTTACCATTTAGTCCAGTAATTCTACTCCTAGGAATTTAGCCAAGAGAGTGGAAAAGGATATTCACACGAAAATCTTGCTAATGAATGTAGTTGCAGCATTGCTTCCTAACAGCCAAAATGTGGCTGAGTAATGAATGGATATTTGATTTAAAAAAGTTATGAAGGCCAGGCACCAGTGGCTCATGCCTGTAATCCTAGCTACTCAGGAGGCTGAGATCTGAGGATCGCGGTTCAAGGCCGGCCGGGCAGGAGAGACCGTGAGACTCTTATCTCCAATAAACCACTAGAAAACCGGAAGTGGCACTGTAACTCAAGTGGCAGAGCGCTCGCCTTGAGCTGAAGAGCTGAGGGACAGCGCCTAAGCCCAGAGTTCAAGCCCCACGACCAACAACAACAAAAAAAGTTATGAAGTGCTGGTCCATGCTATTACATGGGTTTAAATCTTGAAGACATTGTGCTAAGTTGAAAAGGAGCTAGACAAAAAAGGTTTCATCCTATGATCCCATTTATGTGAATAGGTAGGTCCATGGAAAGAAATGAGTAGTTGTCAGGGCTTGTGGGGTGATAGGGAGAGGTCCTACTAGATAAATGCAGGTTTTCTTTTGCAGTGTTCTGAAATTAGATGGTAGTGATGAATAAATAGGCTAAGGCACCTAAGATGTACAGATTTTGGTTTTTGTTTTTGTTTTTGCCAATAATGGGCTTGAACTCAGGACCTTGAGCTCTTGCTTAATTTCTTTGCTGAAGGCTGGTGCTCTACCACATGAACTTTGCTTTAATTTCTGACTTTTTGTTGGCTAATTGTAGCTAAAAATGTCTCAGATTTGTCTGATCTGGCTATCTTTGAACCTGATCTTCAGATCTCAGCCTCCTGAGTAGCTAGGATTACAGGTATAAGCCACCTCACCCAGCAACTGTGCAACTTTAAATGGCTAAATTGTAGTTTTACGTCAACCTCGTCTTTTTAAAAAAGGGCTTTTTAATACATAATGAAAAGAACCAAGAATAATTTGTCCAATTGTTACAGTGTGTGTATATTGGCTATGAGATGTTAGGTATTTTTTTCTCTTTTTCTAAGCTTGTGCCAAGGTGGAGAGAGTACTCAAATTTTCAAATGGAAAATGAAACTAGAATATCTTCCCTTATTGTACTGATCTTCATGGTTATTTTCCTACCCACATTTCTGTTCTCTCCACTTTGATGCCCCAAATGCAGGTCACTGAATCCAAGGCAACCTGTGGAGGGAAGAGTTGGGATGTCAGTGAGAGGCTTGGGTAGGAGAAGAGCAACCTGTGCCTGATGGCCACCGTTCTAGATTAAGAACACTTCCTTGAGAGGATGCTACTTGCTTGCCTGCCTTGGTTAAGCCTCACAGTGCATGGTGCAGAGTTGTTTTACTTGCAGCGTGCCACTCGGTAATCCTTTGTGGGACTAAAAACCATGTGGTAGGCTGAACGGTGGCCCCCAAAGATGTCCATGTCCCCATCCCTAGCACTTATGAACGTTAGTCCAAGAAGCACTTTACAAATGAGAGAAAGTCAAAGGCCCTTCAAATGAAGATATCTGGATAAGCCAGGTGGGCTCCAGATATAATCACAGGTGTCTTTTAAGAGGAAGGCAGACTTGAAGGGGAAGCATGGATGGAGTAGTGCTGGGCAAGGCTGACAAGATGCTGATAAGGGCACAGGATTGGATTCTTCTCCCCAAACCTCCTAGGTTGTACACATCACAAATATTTGGATACTGCGTCTTTTTAAAATTAGTGATGATTCAGGTTGCATATGCAGTCATCATGCAGTTCCTCTGATTCTTAGTGCCCTAATATCTGAGGTTCTCCTTCCTACATCTGATTTACAACCTCCTTAGGTGCCCTGTGGTTTCAATGATACAGTCAGTCACTGGTGGTAATGCACTGGACTGGCCAGTTGTCTGGAATTCTGCTTTGTTCTTGTGTTTTCTTTCATGAGTCTACTTGGGGGCAGTGTTCACTTTTCTCTCCTTGAACTCCAATTAAATCCAGACAAAGCACTGTAAGATTAATCATGGAAGGCTGAGCAGCATCTTAACCTCTGAAAGTCTTACTTGAAACTATCTTTATTTTTTTCAATTTTTTTTATTGTGAAAATACTGTAGAGGAGTTACAATTACATGGGCCAGGTAATGAGTACATTTCTTACCAAGCATTGTTGCCTCATTCTTTGTTTCCCCTTCCCATTCTCCTCTCCCCCCAAAAGTTGTAAAGTTCGTTTTTGACATAACGATTTGTACATCTCATTGTTGCAATGGGTCCACCTGTATCCCTATTTAAATGTTTTTTTTTCCCCTTCCCCTCCGCAAATTATACCAACATCAAATACAATGAAAGCAGGTGTTATACCGTGGGGGAGGGACATACAAAGCAATAAAGAAATCATCTTATAAATATGTTAGAAACAATCACAAGAAAGAAAAAACAGTTGAATACTTATCTTGGGGCTCATTTCACCTACCATCGACTTATCTGACCTTTTCTGCTTGTCTCAGACATATACTAGTTATTGCAAATAAGGGAAACCATGGGACCTATGTTTCTTTGAGCCTGGCTTACTTCACTTAATAGAATTTTTCCAAGTCTTTGAAGCTATCTTTATTTAACTGCATATTAACTGTGCTTCTCCCCAGCTAGCCTCTAAGCCCCTGGGAAGCATGTGCAGTCAGTCACCTTGGTATCTCAGCAGCCCCTCCCCCCAGCCCTGGCAGCTCCATCACTCCTTCCAGCAGCCACTCCCAAACTTCATACCAAGTACTACTTCGCAGGGAGTGTGCACTCCATGGAGTTACTGTAGAGGTGGTGTTGAGAGGCTCAACTAGAGACTAGAATTGATTCAGAGGCCAACTGGGAACCTCCTAATGAGCTCTCTGTCCCCTAAGGGTTGGCATCTTGAATCACGAGTGCTAATTACCTTTACATCTTGGGCAATACTCTTCCTCTCCAGAAGAATTTCAGTGAGGGAGCGATGTGCTAGCAAGCGCTTCATGGTAGTTTGCACCAAGAACTGGACAGCTTTGGACACATGAGCAAGACTGCGTAGGAGAAGAGAGGCATTTTCCATGCGGTAGTAGCAGACAGCATCTATCTCCATTATAAACATGTCTTTAGTTACAACCTAGGCAGAAAAAAAAATGTGTGGATAACAGGCTGGGTTCTTGGACTCCTTCCCTATGTGGGTGGAGAGCTAAAGGTATTCAAAGTGATTTTTTTCTCAGAGAAAGTATAGCATGGAAAAAGAAAAATTAGCCTATCCTTCATTCAAAAAAGACCTATTTTAGCCAGGTGCTGGTGACTCACACCTATAATCCTAGCTATTCAGGAAGTAGATATTGGAAAGGCCATCATTTGAGGGCCTGCTGGGGTGAAGTTTGGGGAACCTCATCTTAATAAGTAGCTGGGTGTGGTGATGTAGCTGTCATGCCAGCTATGAAAAGGGCTGGAGGCATGACTCAAGTGATAGTGCACCTGCCAAAAGGCACTAGGTTCTGAGTTCAAATCCTTATACCACCAAACTAAACCTGTTTTGAAAATTATACTAAGAGCTGTACACACTAAACAGCTGTAGATGCCAGCTGGTGGTTAGAGGGCAAGAATACAGAAGTTGATGGATCAGGATCACTCGAAATTAGCATAGGCATCGGAGATCCTGTTTGGAAAAAATACAAAACCAAAAAGATACAACACTAAAGAACTCATAATTTAAAGGAATCCTGTTGTAATTCCTTTAATAAAAAAGCAGTAAAGTATAATTTGGGGTGTAAACATTCAATTGGTTTTACATCAGGTCTTTCTAAATTTAGGTCAACAAATCTACTAAAAGAAAGGCATGTTCTAGAAAAGTAGTACTCTCACACAGCACGGATGGAGTGGAATGCCCCATCAGCTATGTGGGAGGCTAAGCTACGGAATCATGGTTCAAGGGCAGCCTAGGCAGAAAAGTTCATGATACTATCTCACTGGGAGAAATTGCATATGGTGGCTGCATGCCTGTCATCCCAGTTATAGTGGGAAGTGAAAAACAGGAAGATTGTGGTCCAGGTGCATGTCTGAGCAGGAAGCAGCAATACCTAATCTCAAAAATAAACCAAAAATAGTAGTACAGCACCTGCTGGTTGTACACTAGAAGGCATTTTGATGGTACATATGAAAAGCCCTTCAAGAGCTGTACGCTCAACATTTCCACTTCTAGACTAATTATAGGGACATTATAAAGAACTTAGCTAGGCTGAGCACTGGTGGCTTATGCCTCTAATAATAGTAGCTACTCAGGAGACTCAGATCTGAGGGTTGAGGTTCAAAGCCAGCCCAGGCAGAAAAGTCCATGAGCCTCTTACTGCCAATTAACCACTAAAAATCCTAAGTGGAGCTATGGTTCAATGGCTAGAGCACTAGCCTTCAGAAACAAAGCTTAGGGACAACATCTGGACCCTGAATGTGAGTCCCAGGACTTGCACAAAAAGTAAAATAATGAGCTAGAAACAGAGCTAACATGAAAAAAAAATATATTGTTTGGTAAAGAGCAGGCTACAAAATAGTATATATAAAATATGCATATAGTATGATATACATACACACATATGTAATTCTATAAATATACCCACATAGAAGTTTGGGAGGTTATATGTCAACAGGTAATTTATGGGTAGTGATGGTTTTATGTGTTACGGTATACATAACATAAAACGACAACATGACCTGTTTGTCTGGCTCTGTCTCTGGTCTCTGTCTGTCTGTCTGTCTGTCTGTCTGTCTCTCTCTCTCTGTTTATGCATATGTATGCTGGTCCTGGGGCTTGAACTCCGGACCTGGATGCTCTCCCTGCTAGGCTAGTGCTCTGTCATGTGAGCAGTAGCTCCACTTCCAGCTTTTTAGTAGTTAATTGGAGATGAGAGTCTCACAGATTTTCTTGCTCAGGCTGGCTTCAAATCATGATCTTCAGATCACAGCCTCCTAAGTAGCTAGGCTAACAGGTGTGAGCCTGTTAGCTTGTCAGAACTATTTTAAGCACATAACTGAATTAACTACTTTCATAATATTGTGCAACTTTTCTATACCTCAAAATTTTTGTAAAACAAACACTGTACCTATTAAACGACTCCCTAATTTCCTCTCCTCTTGCTTCTGCAAAGCACCATTTTACCATCTGTCTCTGTGATTATATGTCTTTTTGTGATTGCTTAGTTCACTAGCGTGATGTTCTTGAGCTTCATCCATGTTGTACAATATGTCTCATTTTCCTTTCTTGCAGGGGTGGGGAATGTCCTGTCTGCATGCTGTGTAAGAACCCATGAGATCATTTGGAACAGGACAGACACACATGCTTCTTGAATATTTCTTACTTGCTGCTCATAACCATCTGCCTGTATTGGTTATTTTGTATGACATTGTAATGATATAAATATCAAATGGGCCTTAGCAGGTTCCCCATCCCTCTAAGAATGAATAATATCCCATTATAGGGTCCATAGCACATTGTATCTATTCAGCTATCCGTGGGCTGGATCTCCTGTTTGGCTGTTGTAAATAATGCTGCTAGGAACATGAATTTCTTCAGGACTCTGCCTTCAGTTCTTTGAAATTGCTAGATTGTATAGTGATAACATTTTGGTTGTTTAGTTTTTGTTTTTCAGTCATGGGGCTTGAACTCTGGGCCTGGGCTCTGTCCCTGAGCTCTTCAGCTCAAGGTGAGTGCTCCACTACTTGAGCCACAGCAGCACTTGTGATTTTCTGATGGTTGGGTTGGCTTTGAACTGTGATGCTCAGATCTCAACCTCCTGAGTAGCCGGTGCTCAGCGAGCTGTTCTCTGGAGATGGTGTGATACCATCTTGTTCTCCCATCAGCAATGCACACATGTTCCAGTCATTCTTCATCCTCCTCTCTATTTGTTATTTTTGGTTTAAATTTTTTTTTTCGTGGTAGTCAGGTTTGAACTCAGGGCCTCACATTTGCTAGGCAGGTGCTATACCACTTGAGCCATGTCCTCAGCTCTCGTGATTTTTTTACACTAGCTCTTTTACTGATTACAAGATGATATGTTCTTATTTTAAGTTGCATTTACCTAGCAATTGGTGATGTCAGCCATATTTTCATGTGTTGGCCATCTGTATATCTTCGTTGGAAAAATTTCTATTCAAATCTAGATTGATTCTCAAGAAATAGAACCAATAGTGTGTGTGTGTGTGTGTGTGTGTGTGTGTGTGTGTGTGTGTTGAGCTATGTCTCTAGTCCTTTATTCAACGTTTACAGACTTAAATTCTAATTTCATCTAAAAATGACTTACCAAATAACATCCAAATGTGTTTAGCTAAATGTAGGCTAAATGACCATTCAGTAGATAAATAAGATGAATAATCATAAAGTTCTTTATCCATGTTTGGGTCAGGTCTTTGCTTATTTTGTTGTTGATATATATAAATTCTTTATATATTCCAGATATTTATCCCTTACAAGCCACATGATTTACAAATATTTTCTCCCACTCCCTAGGTTGCCTTCCGTTCTGTTGCTTGTATCCTTCCTACACAACTGTTTTTAATTCCGATGGCCACATCTCTACTTTTTGTCCTACTTTTGGGCATAGTCATGTAAATGTGGGGAAAAAACAGAGGCCACCATTCACCTTACCTCATGAAAGGGTATCTCCAAGGTCTGGAGACGGAGGTCAACCTTGTAATAGGTGTCCAGACAGGGCAGAAAGAAAAACAAACCTAGAAGAGGGAGAGGAAGAGGGACAGGTGAGTAACAAGTGTGAAGACAGTTTGACAGTCACTTTTTCAGAATCAGAATGCACACTGCAGTGCTTGCCAACTACACAGAGACCACTGTGAAATTCCACCTCTGTTCTAGTGGTCTATTTTTGTAGCTAAGATGTAACCATATAATTTTTTTATTCAATCTGAGACACTTTGGAGGCTAAAAGGGAGCTTTATTCCAACTTACTTTAGGACCATAGAGGTAAACAGGGATTCTTCCTAGCTTACTGCATAGTAGGTCACTTTGGTCATGGTGCTGACCTTTCTAGACTTAACCACATACCTGCCCCTTCACCAGATTTGAGCTCCATAAGAATAGTAGCATATGCCTCACTGTTAATCTTGGGAAATAGTTTAGTGCCTTTTAGTGCTCTGGGAAATAGTTTTATATGGTTTACCCATGAGTCCCACTTTAGAACCAGCGATCTCCATGCACTTATTTCCTAAACTGCAAGCCCCAGAGGTAATCAGAATAGCAGTGCCATGATGCTAGGAGCATTCTAGCTAGCTAGCTGGTCCTCACCTACCCGCTGCTATGTACAATAAACACCTACAGATGGATTGAGACTTTTCTCAAATCCCTTGGCTATTGTGGGCTTCTGTATGAATCACAACTCTGTTGGAATCAGCAAAACCTCACAGAGCTCAGGATCTATCTAGGGAGCAACTCAGCTACCAGGTCTCCTCAGCCTCAGTGGAGAAGGCTCCTGAACACCAGGGTCAGAGCAAGATGGCCCATGTCCTGGAGCTACAAGGTACGCTTCTCTTTCTGTGTGGGCCTGTTTATTGGGTTGTGAATCGCTAAACCCTGTTTATTTTTCTCAATTCTGCGGTAGGTACAATGATTCTTGATTGGATTCTCTTCCTTCCCTGCTTCATTCATCTATTCCTCTCCCCTTGCCCATCCCCCTTCAAGTACCCATTCCCTGGTACTTATTTTGTTGGGCTTTGGCTTAGTCTTTCTAAAGAATTATACTATTTGAGCTCTATCTTCTGGTTTTAACAGTCTCCTGTTTATCCAGGTTTGGTCTGAGCAGTGATCTTCCTATTTATACTTCTTATGTAGCTGGGATGAGAGGATCATGCTATTGTGCACAGATTTTTATTGGTTGAGATGGGTTCTCAAGAACTTTTTGCCTGTGCTGACTCCAAACCACAATCTTCCTGACCTCAGCCTTCTGAGTAGCTAGGATTACAGGCATGAGCCACTATACTCTGCTCCTTCTTGTACCTTCATGACTGACTTGTATCTCCAAACTATGATTTTTTTTTGTTTATACCTCATAACCAGCCTGGATCTTCACTTGATTTTAAGGTTCTAGAAAGCAGCCATGTTTGACCATCCAAATATCTTCATAATTTAGCATGGAGGGTCTGAAACTCAGGAATGGTTCAATCTATTTTACCAGCTAAAGACCAATTTGTCACTGAGATACAGAACTTCCTTGTCTTCCATGATTTAATCTGGCCCCTTGGATTCTGGACTAGGTCAGCTTTTCTCTGAGAAGTCACTTGACTCCAACCACACCCACGATCCTCAGCCCACTGTCCAGATGTGGCTCCCAAGCTGACTTGCTATTCCAGTCAGCCTGGCCCTGGTATACATACTCCAGCTCTGCACCTAGAACTTGGTAGTTATGACTGAACAGTCTCTTAATAACTTCCACAGTTTATAACAGATTAGGAATATGGATTTCATGAATCAAGTAGCTTCATGTAACCTCTGTGTTACGTGTACATAGATTAGAGAAATCAAAAATTAAGAAGTGAGTGAGGGTGTGGGTTAAAAAGAAAAAATTTTTTTCTTACCAGGACCTTTGGCTCTTCCAGGAAGCAGGTGTCCCAGTCGGAAAATAATTACTCTCTCATACTCTTGTACAACCTAAAGGGAAATGTGGGAAATGCAATTCTCTCAAATCAAGATAAAAAATAACATCTTCAAAGGCACCAGCCTCTTGAGAATAAGCCTAAGTATCAGAAATAATTTGTTCTGAGAACTCAAAATAAATTTGTATTACTTGATACTTTTTTTTTTTGGTCGGTCGTGGGGCTTGAACTCTGGGCTTGGATGTTGTCCCTGCGCTCTTCAGCTCAAGGCGAGCACTCAACCGCTTGAGCCACAGCGCCACCTCCGGTTTCCTAGTGGTTTATTGGAGATAAGAGTTTCACGGACTTTTCCTACCAGGGCTGGCTTTGAACCTCGATCTTCAGATCTCAGCCTCCCGAGTAGCTACGATTATATTATAGGCGTGAGCCACCGGCGCCTGGCTAACTACTTGATATTCTAACATCTAGATTTAGTACCTGTAGAATTTCAGAGAGAGAACAATGAAAAAGTATAGTGACCAATTTTAATTTTTGAGTCTGCAGGCAGAATTTTGATTAAAAACTTAATTATGGTCTAAAATGCTTCCAATTTGATTTCCCAAAAGCAAATCTTATCAGAACTTCTTTGAGCTTCTATCTTTGCAGTGATTTAAGCATTGCTAGCTTTTCTATGCATCCCTCCCTAGCTACTGAACACAGAGAATATATCTTAATAACACATTTTGTTCCAAACTGCAGTTTCTTCTAAGGCTGCTTCAAAAGGGGTCCAGTGGACTTTAATTTGCCAGTTCTCATGGACCTTGAAAAGCTGAGCACCCTGAAAATGTGTAGAGATATTTTAAAATGACAAAAAGATTATCTGTGTAGAATACTCGGTCTAGTACAATAGAAAAATATTTTTTTTAAAAAAACCAATTCTACTTTTTGGCTCAGTATCAGGATATGAGGTCTCCCAAATGATTTGATCCTACTTATTTATACCCATCAGACTGTGATATAGACTTTTTTCTGTACCTAAAAAATGCCTGATATGGGGCTGGGAATGTGGCTTAGTTGTAGAGTGCTTGCCTAGCATGCATGAAGCCCTGGGTTTGATTCTTCAGTACCACATAAACAGAAGTGGCACTGTGGCTCAAGTCTCAGAGTGCTAGCCTTGAGCAAAAACAAGCTCAGGGACAGTGCCCAGGCTCTGAGTTAAAACCCTAGGACTGGCAAAAAAAAAAAAAAAAAGCCTGATAACATAGTTTTCAGTATACATTGTTGAATGAAGAAATAATGTGTGATCATAGACAAGTCCATTTTCCTCCTTCATCTTTCTTTCACCTTAAAGCAGCAACATAGATGATTCTGTATGATACTGTTTTGCAAGCACTCTTTGAAAATTGATTTCTTTCTTTCCTCCTCCTCTTTCTTCTCCTTCTCCTCCTCCTCCTCTTTCTCCTTCTCCTCCTCCTTCTTCTTCTTCTTCTTCTTCTTTTCTCCTTCCTCCTTTCTCCTTTCTTCTTTTTGTGGTGCTAGTCCTGGGGCTTGAGCTGAGAGACTGGGCACTGTCCCTGAGCTTGTTTTGCTCAAGGCTAGTACTCTACCATTTGAGCCACAGATCCACTTCTGGCTTTTTTGGTGATTAATTGAAGAGTTTCATAGACTTTCCTGCCCAAGATAGACTTGAACCACAATCATCAGATCTCAGCCTCCAGAGTAGCTAGGATTAGACACATGAGCCACCAGCACACAGCTGAAAGTTGAATTTTGTCAAATACTGTTACAGTACTGTTGCCAATAAGTCTTTTTTGTATGCACCCTTTCAAAAGGTGCTTTGGCACATCAGATCAACTGTCATAACTGTCTCTTCTACCCAGGCCAACCAGGGGAGGGTACTTCACCAACAATAGATGTTTGATTGGTTCAAACACAATCTTCATTTGCATAGCATACCATGTTTGATGGAAACAGGAACTAACTGTGTGATTCCTATAGACACCCTGTCCCCTCCCTATACTGAACCTGAAAGATAATTTAAGATAAATAAGCCAGATACAGAACATTAACTACTGCATAATCTCAAGTGGGATCTAAAAAGGCTGAATTCATAGAAGCAGAGAATAGCACGTGCTTATTGGGCTTATTGGAAAGTTTAATGAGGGATAAAGGTTCAGTTATATAGGATGAATGAGTTCTGGGGTCTAAAGTACAGAATGATGATGACAGTTAATATTATATTGTAAGGGGGCGGGGAGGATTGGGTGGGGAGGATTGGGAGGGGAGGATGGGAAGGGATAGGAAGGGGAAACAAAGGAGGAGGCTACAATGCTTGATAAGAAATGTACTCATTAAAAAAAAGTACTCATTATCTTGTCCATGTAATTGTAACCTCTCTGTACAGTATTTTCACAATAAAAAAGAAAAAATATTATATTGTAAATTTGCCATTTGCTGAGAGATTATCTTTAAGTGTTCTCACCATGCACAAATAGTAACTATGAAGTAATAGAGTTTGATGATCATGGTCATTTCACAGTAGATATGATGTAAAAGCGTTGTATTGGGTCTGGGGAGTGGGAGTAGCATGCTTATCTAACATGTGAAAGCCCTGGGTTAGGTTCATAGAGTAATAACCGGCGTGGGGCCCAATAATCTGTGTGGCCCTGTAGCCCGGCCTGCTGACGGGGGTGGGCACAGGCGGGCCTCACTGCTCCACAGAGCCGGTCACTGGACAGAGCAGGACATTGAGAGGCAGATGTCACCGTGGGACGTGCTGCAGGAGGGGGTGGGGCGTCACCCCACAGGGTGAGCTGTCAAGAAGTGATTGGACAGTGGGCAGCTTGGGGGAGGAGCATGAATGGCAGTTGGAAAACCATTGGGGGGGGGCGGGAAATCAACCATTAGTCCTGAGGAAGGAAGGGACGGATGGAGAGCAGTAGGAGTGGAGGGAGAGACGGCAGGAGGGGAAAGCTTGCCAGCGCAGAGCAGGGCAGGCCTGTGGAGAGAGGAGAGGCCTGCAGAGGAGGAGGAAGGGAAGAAAAGGAAAAGCCTTCCCCTTTGGAGGTTTGGAGCTTTTGAGCTTTGGAGGTCTGGGGTTTGGAGGTTTGCATACTGGCTAATTGGAGGTTTGCTGACCGACTAATAAAGGTTGGGGTTGCCTTTTGGAGGCTTGGAGGTTTGGTGGTTGAGGCTGCTCTTGGTTCTGGGGATCTAGCTCAGGACAGGGTAGTCGCAGGACCCCTTTCTGGTGTAAATAGTGTAAACGTTTTTTTGGTTTTTTTGGTCCGGTCGTGAGGCCTGAACTCTGGGCCTGGGCGCTGACCTTCAGCTCAAGGCTGGCACTCTACCACTTGAGCCACAGTGCCACTTCTGGCTTTTTTTTCTGCTTATGTGGTGCTGAGGAATCGAACCCAGGGCCTCATGCATGCAAGGTAAGCGCTCTACCACTGAGCCACCTTCCCAGCCCTGTAAACTTCTTTTGTCCACCTTTCACTGTGCCTTGATGGATTGTCTCGCTTTTCAGAGGTCATAAGTATAGCACCACAAAAAAACACATTGTAAAGCCGGGCGCTGGTGGCTCACGCCTGTAATCCTAGCTACTCAGGAGGCTGAGATCTGAGGATCTCGGGTCAAAGCCAGCCCGGGCAGGAAAGACTGTGAGACTCCTATCTCCAATAAACCACCAGAAAAGCAGAAGTGGCGCTGTAGCTCAAGTAGTAGAGCGCTCACCTTGAGCTGAAGAGCTGAAGGACAGTGCCCAGGCCCAGAGTTCAAGCCCCACGACCGACAAAAAAAAAACCCAAAAAAACATTGTATAATAAATATACATAATTTTTACTTTTCAAGTATATCACAATAAAACTGGAAAAATTAAAAACAACTTTAAGAAAATGGAAACTTCCCACTAAAAATCCAAGACCAATTGGCTTCACTGGTGAATTCTGCCAGATACCTGATGAGATGAAAAATTATTAACATCTCTCAAATTCCCCACCTCCTCCCCCAAAAAACCACAGCACAAAGAAGTCTTCCTGAGATATCTCTAAGGCTAGTATCATTACCCTGCCACCAAAACAAGTCAGAGCTACCACAAGAAAACTATACAGTATATCTTATGAATATAGATATAAAAATCTATATTCCCTGTCTTTCCTCCCTAGTCTTGTTTGTCTCTCAACTACTTAGGCAATGCCTCCAATAAATACCCAGCATTTCTAATTCTACCTCAGCATGTGTTTTTTGAACTGGCTTGGGACTTGTTTACTTCAGGGACTGGCATGTGTCATTACCATGGGTGAATGTCCATGAACTATAGAAGTTGCCTGAGAAGTTTGCTTCCATGTCAGGAGTGGATGAGTAGGTGTCACGCTCTATTCTGGACCACCAGGTGTGGATGAACTATATATGATCCCTTCCCTGAAGGGCCTCTCAGTCTAATGGGTGGTAACAAGCTCTCAGTAAATATGCATGTGGCAAATGGAGGAGTGGGGGTCAAAGTGGCCCAGGTGCACAGGGAAGGGATTGTCAGTCTGAAGGACTCATAAAGGCTTCATGGGAACATTTGAGCCTGGTCTTGAAGGAACCAAAGTTTCATGGAGGGTAGGTAGTATCACAGGCATCCCAGACAGAGCCACAGCAAAGGTGGCCTGCTTTGGTCAGTAAGAGGCACCAGGAAATTACTTGTTGAATCATCATGGAAACTCACCTTTATGCAGAACCAGATAGAAAAGGGGAAAGTCAGGATGACGAAGAGGAGGGAAGTAAGGACAAGAAGCCACTCGAAGGCCCCTAAACCGGAAGACTTGATTCCTTAAAAAAAAAAAAAAATTATATTGAAACCTTTCTATATTCACTGTAGTCACTTGTCAGTACATATTTGATATCAGCCTGAGAGCAGTTTGGCGATCTTTCAGAAATATTGGAATGAACGCAGATATAAGAGTGCTCAGAGTTCTCAAGACTGAGGGTGTGTGGTCCGTGTGGGCTGATGGAACACTGGACCAGAGTCCCAGTGAGTCTCATGTCCACAGATGACATTTACCAGGGCAGAGGACTTTTTTTTTGTCAGTCGTGGGGCTTGAACTCTGGGCCTGGGCGCTGTCCCTCAGCTCTTCAGCTCAAGGTGAGCACCCTGCCACTTGAACCACAGCGCCACTTCCTGTTTTCTAGTAGTTTATTGGAGATAAAAGTCTCATGGTCTTCCCTGCCCGGGCTGGTTTTGAACTGTGATCCTCAGGATCTCAGCCTCCTGAGTAGCTAGGATTACTGGCATGAGCCACCAGCACCTGGCTCAGAGGACTTCTTTAAACCTAGTTTCCTCATCTGTACAATAAGATAGTTATACTAAATGTCTCATATCACGTAAGGCTGAAATCACATGTACAGATAAAGACAGAGCTCAGGGTCTTACCTTCCATGAAATAACTTCCCCATCCCCTACCAGCTCTGAAGTCTGAAATTCCTCCACTAGAGGAGGAAAACCACAGAACATGGTGTAATTGAGCGTCTGCAAAAGCAAGTGCTAAGGACCTGGATGCAGAACTTGCAGGATGGTAAATGAAATAGTGTTAAGGACGGTTAACCTTGGGGGACACAAGGTCTTGCAGGTTTTCCTTTATTTTGTGTTCGCATGGCCTAACATAGTGCTTGATGCAACATATGGGCTCAATAAATATTTATGAATAAAGAAGGGAGGGAAGGAGGGAGGGAGGAAGGTGACCCTTTATTCCCCCATTCTCCCCCCCCAAACCTGATTTTGGAGTGTGGTGCTGAGATAGAGAATGTTTTCTGGAAGCCTCAGACACTTCCCTGGCCAGGGTTCAGCAAAACTGCCTCATCCTGGGGGACTTGTCACCCCACATTAGGTGTCTTCTGTTCTAGCTGCTAAGGAGATGGAAACCCACAGAAGTGATGCTATTAACCCAAGGCCATGGCTAGTTGGTAGCAGTTAGCAGTGACACCATGACAGAAACCAGAAGCAGCACCCATAAGGGTGGGCACCTGAGTCAGAGCTTTACTCCAGAATTCCCACTCTCCACTTCCTAGCCAGAGGTCTTGGACCAATTATTTAAAATTTCAGTATATGTTTCCTCATCTGTGATAAGGGACTCTGAAACAATGTAACAGCCAGTGTGTGCCTGGCATGTGGAAAGGGCTCCAGAAGAGAGGAGGAGCCTTTCCTCGCCTACCTGACTTATGTGACCTGCTACTGTAGCATTGAACGTCCAACCATCCTTAATAACAAAGGTTTATTGGTTTGGCATTAATACAGCCCATTGAAACTACATCCCAATTGTAGGAGTTTTCCTCAACTTGTAGCTTTCTATGAATTGGCATATATCACATTGCTAATAATGAGGGAATGTGAAAATACAGCCAGCAGAAAGCTATGTATGTGATGTGCTATTCCTTATTTTCCTTTCAATGTCTACCATCCGCCTACTTCAGGTATAATGAATGTCTTCCATTCATTACATACCTTTGTTTCTAAGAAACTGCTTCACTTGCAGAAGTGAAACGGTCACTTTTCTGTGCATTCCCTCCCTCCTTGGAGCTGATGTTGTTTAGCTACAAGGAGTCAACTGCAATTGAACATCTTATTTGCCCCAAGCTCAACTCATTTTATTCTCACAACTGCTTAACTAGAATTGCACCGTTGATATTTAAATTCAGGCCTGTCTTTTCTTTATTTGGCTCTGCCCTTTGGAAAGAATGCCCTCCCGAAGAACACGTGGCGTGTATCTAGCTAAGCCTGCGGGGTGGGGGTGCCGGGAGGAGGGGCCATGACTGCCCGAGGCTCCCAGTGGCTTCTCGGTGTACTTTACGTCTCCATCCGCCCTTCCATGGCCACGAGCATCGGCTGGGTTGCGTGCTGCTGGTCCTGGGGCACACGCCCCTCTCGCCTCTCCCGGGCCTCAGTGCGTGGCTGGCCCTGAGCCCCGGGACACCTAGCTGCGGTTCTCCGGATGCCCGCGGGGCTTGCTAGCTTCCCCACGCCTCTTCCACGGTGCCGCTCCAGGTCCCCGGAGCCCCCTCGATCCTACCTTCTTCAGGTCGCTCGCTCTCCAGCAGCGCCATCACCTCGGTGCCCTCCTCACCAGAGCCGCGGACCTCGTCCACGTCCACCACGGTGGCGGCGGGGACCCGGGGCTCCCCGGGGCTCGCGGCCCGCGCGGGGCTTCCTGACCGCCCGGGGCTCCGCCGCTGGTGCCCCGCATCCTGGCGCCCGTGCTCTCGGCTGCGCTTCTCGGCCTTCGCGCTCCTGCCTCCCTTGGGGGAGGATCTCCCACTTCTTCCCGGGGCCTCTCTGGAGTGGCTGCGCGCCCTCCTCTCCATGCTCAGATGCAGGGCAGCAGCGGGGCAGGTGAGGCCGGCAGGGAGCGCAGCCCGACCTGGCCCCTGAAGAGGGACGGGAGGGCGGGGTCAGGGCAGGGCAGAGGGCGGGGCGATGCGCGCGGGGCGGGGCATGCCCGAGGGGCGGGGCATGCCCGAGGGGCGGGGCGATGCCCGAGGGGCCGACGGCTTAGCAGGGGGTGGAGCCTGGGGTGGGGTGGGTGAGAGGTCCAGTCTACTCACAGCATTTCCCAGAGGGGCTGGTGCGACTCTTAGCCTAGCACAGTGGGGTCAGATGGCCGAACACCTGATATTTCCACTTGTCTTTCTGTAGACACGGGATGCCTGGGCTGGAAAGCTAGGGTTAGGACATTGCACTAGGAAATGTCATTGAAGTAGGTGAAATTAGCTATTTCTCCTCAAGCCCTGTTTGTTTCCCCCTTGTTTTTCCAAGAATGCATCTTCCATCTCCCTGCTTATTTCTTATTTTTATATCAGTCTGTTTTTTCTTTCTCCCAATGTATTAAAGTAATAATATTAGCTGATTCTTCCCTCCTTCCCCATCTCTCTCTCCCTCTCTCCCCTTCTCTCTCTCTCTCACACCCCACTTATTTTTATTTATGACAGAAACTTTAGGCTAAAGACAAGGTACAGTGCATGATCTCACAATGATAACTTTGGATGCTTGGGGGTCCTACTCTTTTCTATTTACATTTTTTTTTGTCGGTCGTGGGACTTGAACTCTGGGCCTGGGCGCTGTCCCTCAGCTCTTCAGCTCAAGGTGAGCGCTCTACCACTTGAGCCACAGCACCACTTCCTACATGTTTTTCTTAAACCTAATGTTTGCTAGGTAGGTGCTTTACCACTGAGGCACACCTCTGGTCCTTTTGCTTTTCAGTTTTTAAGTAGGGTCTTCATTTTTGTCCTCTTAAGGTCTCTCTCATAGCTGGAACTACAGATACACACCACCATGCCCAGTTTGTTTGTGGAGATGGGGGTCTTGCTAACTTTTTACCTGGGCTGGCCTCCAATCTTGATCCTCTGGAGCCCCTCCCCACCCCAATTAGCTGGAGTCATAGTCATGAGCCACCCCAACAGGCCAATAATGTTTAATCTTGGTGATAATGTTATGCTTCTTGAATTTTCTGTTTTCAGGACACCGTCATTTTTGTCCTACCTAGACCTACCTCCTGTCCCCATGTAGGTGGGATGAAAGCTGGTTTTTCTTCCCTTCCTTTCCTTTCTTTGTCTTCCTTCCTTGCTTCCTTCCCTTCCTTCCTTTCCCTCCCTCCCTTCCTTCCTTCCTTTCCCTCCCTCCCTTCCTTCCATTTTTCCTTCCTTCCTCCCTCCCTCCCTCCCTCCCTCTTGCCGGTCCTGGGCCTGAACTCTGGGCCTCTGGGCACTGTCCCTCAGTTCTTCAGCTCAAGGCTAGCACTCTACCACTTGAGCCACAGCACCACTTCTAGCTTTTTCTGCTTATGTGGTGCTGAGGAATTGAACCCAGGGCCTCACGCATGCAAGGCTGCCGGAACCAGCCTGCAACGAAAGGGACTCCTGATTTAGGGGGCAAGGACGGAAAAATAAAGACATAAGACAAAGGATGGGGTCGGGAGGTCTGCAGCTCAAGACTGCAGCCCCGTTTATTTTTAACTCTCCTTATTTATACTATTAGAAGTCAAGTGGTAACCTAAGGTCACCATAGTGCAGAAAAGCAAGGAAAATTTTAATAAAACAAGGGTGCAGAAAGAAACAAGACAAGGTCAACTGAAAGTAAAACAAATTCTACAGACATAGCAAGGCAAACCCGGACACCTGGTGTTATTCATGAAAGCCAGTTCCTTGTATGTGCCTTCAAGTGAGCACAAGGGTCAAGATGACCTTGGAGTTTTACTGTCGGCTCCCAACACAAGGCAAACACTCTACCACTGAGCCACCTTCCCAACCCTTTCTTTTCCTTCCTCCCTCCCTCCCTCCATCCCTCCCTTCTTTTCTTTCTTTCCTTCTTTCTTTCTTTCTTTCCTTTCTTTCTTTTTCTTTCTTTCTTTCTTCTTTCTTTCTTTCTTTCTTTCTTTCTTTCTTTCTTTCTTTCTTTCTCTCTCTCTCTCTCTCTCTCTCAGGTTTGAACTCAGGGCCTCTGTCAGCTTTCTATGTAGGCTAGCAATCTTACCACTTGAACCATGCCTTTAGCCCTGCTTTTTGCTATTTATTTTGTAGATGGAGTCCCATGGACTTTTCTGTCTAGACTGGCTTTGTTCCTCAGTCCTCTTGGTCTCATCCTCCTGTGCAGCGAGGATTCCAGATGTGAGCCACCAGTGTGTGGCTCTCAGTTTTGCTTCTTCTAGACTCACAGGTTAGGCTACTTCTAACAGCAAACTAATGACCACTTAGGAGTAATTGAAATATTCAGTAGATTTTTCTTATACTTTATTATAAATTGTTTTTCACTGAAGGAGAGATTGATCTAGATGTCTCCAAGCAAGATTTATGATTCTACTCAAATAGTTCAGATCTCGTGCTAGTGACAATAATACTCACTTTTTTTATTTTCTAGTGTTTATTGAGTATACACAGAGATAGTTTTTTTCTCTCTCAAAAGTCTTAAAGACTGAGCAGCCGAAATATTTGTATCTAGAGAAACTATCTCACAAGCTTATTCCACAGGCTCCAAGTTAGGTCATTGAGAATAGTAATTAACTGTTAAGAAATTAATTTTATTTTTACCTCTTCAAAACTGATAATTTCACAGATTATGTAAAGGAGGACAAATATTTGGCCAGATGATATCTTTCAAACTATGCTGTCCACCAATAAGAGCAATTTCTTGTAAGAGAAAATGCAATGAGAGCACGTGCTGTTGAGTGCTGAGCTTCCTGAGAGGCACTTTTTTTTTTCAGTCTTCCTTATTCATTTGACCACAGGCAAATTCCTTAATCATTGCTTCATTTTCAATATCTATGTAAATATAGAAAAATCCACCTACAAAACAAGTTGGTTGGGATTATGAATGACGAGGATAATATCTGAGAAAATACGTCACCTTCCATGGAAAAAAGGCCAACCCAGCATTTCTGAAAGATGGAGAAACTGGGGAGTAGAAGGTGCTGTGGGTCCAGCATGTGGTTCCAGCTGGCCTCTTCTACTCTTACAATGTTGCTGCTGTTTTCTTTTAGATACTTTTTAATTGAAAGTGTTCTCTGCACACGTTGCTAAACTCTAACTTCTATGCTGCTTGTGGGAATGGGATTGTGAAGGAGAGGACCGAGTAAAGTTGCTGACTTTTGGGTTTGTTTTCAAGATGGAAGGTCCTAAAAGAAGGCAAGATGTTGAAAATTAATGGTTATTCTATGTTGAAATTCACATAGATTAATGGAATAAATATTGATTTGTAAATTGACTGCTTAATGGAAACTTTAATGATCACAGGCATCAGTAGATGATATTGCGAACCTTGTCATTTTAGAGCTGGAAACAATTCAGAATTTGTTAAATTTGACCTCAATTTGCGGATGGCAGAGACATTGTGGGTCTGTGCAGGAGTGGTGTAGGGAAGTAATGTATAAGAGCTTGACCCAAGGCTTTGGCAGGAGGGATGCCCTAGATTCCCAAAGTAAATCTGTGGGAATTAGCAGAATCTGGTGATCTTGCGGGACTATAGGACAGGGATTTCGAGGGGTGACAGGACTTGAGAAAGATGGAAAATGGAGACTTCCATCTTAAGCTGAGCAGTTGGTTATAACTGCAGCTGGCTTCTGGCTTCTTAGTATACAGACTCCAAGCATTCCCAATGCATTTCCTGGAGAAGCAGGGGGTACATGGCTTTAACTGTGCCATCCGGGAGCCTGCCAGCTGACCCCACTTGATTACTTGAGTGCCTTGTACAAAGTCTGGGGGAAGGCTACTTTAAAATTGGGGTTCCCAGCATTTCCCTTCTGCACTAACCCCAGCCTTCCTTGACATGCTGAGAAAATCAGTATTAGAATACACATCTATTCACAGCACTGTGGAAAGCTGCTCTAGGACATGTATCAAAATCACCTAGAGGTCTTGATAAGATTGTTAGACTCTACACACGTTCCCCCACACCCCTCTCTCCCTCCCTATGTGTGTGCAACCTGAGAATCTGGATTGTCCTTTTTCTTTAGGTAGTACTGAGGTTTGAACTTACAGCCTTGTGCTTGCAGGGATACCCTCTACCACTTGAGACATACTTCCAATGATGTTTGCAGTATTTTTCAAATAAGGTCTAATTTTTACCCCAGGCCACCTTGGACCATGATCCTCCTATTTATACTTCCTGTTTAGTGATGTGCTCACCACTAGCTTATACTAATTAAGGTGAGGGTCTTGTGCACTTTTTGCCTGGGCTAGTCTCAAACCATAAATCCTCCTGATAGCTGCCTCTCCAGGAGCTAGGGTTATAGGCTTGAGCTACTGTATCCAGTGAGAATCTGCATTTCTTAACTAATTTCCAGGTGATGCTGCTGCCTGGAACCATACTTAGAGAACTACTGTGAATAGGGTTAAACATGTTTTCTGAATATTTCATGTAATTCAGGGCTTTCAAAAATCACTTCATGAGGCTGGGAAGGTGTCTCGGTGGTAGAGTGCTTGCCTTGCATGCATGAGGTCCTGGGTTTGATTCCTCAGCACCACATAAGCAGAAAAAGCCAGAAGTGGTGCTGTGGCTCAAGTAGTAGAGTGCTAGCCTTGAGCTGAAGAATGGAGGGACAGTGCCCAGACCCAGAATTCAGGCCCCACAACCTACAAAAAATAAAATAAAAATCATCATTACCGGGCATTATGTATTTATCTAATATTGCTTGTTTTTGTTTTAACTGTATTTTTTTTGTCTTTTTTGGTACTGGGGATCCAACCCTGGACATTTCACTTGCTAGGCAAAAGCTTTGTCACTGAGCTACATCCCAGCCCCTTGTCTTTGTTTTAACTAGGCAGATTGGCACTTTACTTTGCTCACTGTGGTAGTCCTATCTCCTAGGACACATAGTAGAAGTTTGTTTGAGTGAA